TCAAAGCATATCACCACCATATCATAGAGCATATTACTCAAGAAACCCAAGACACTCTGCTCCATTGTTTGAAGAAATCATTTTCTGATAAACCAAACTCAAGAGCTCAGTGTTATGATCTCTCGAAAACTTCCATTTTTGTACTCTTCTCATGGAGGTGTCCTACCAGCTAATGTCACTACCAGCTAATATAGTAAAATTTTAGGCAAGCATGTTAATGTAGTTCCAGGCTTTTGGGATGCCAGTTAATCAACACACTATTGGCATAGAGCAATGACTGATACCCTGAGAACTCAGGGAAGTACAAGCTCTTCTTAGATTACTGTTTATGGACTTAATTACTACTGCAATACACTTAATCATTCCATGTCATATACAAGTTAATGGATGTTCCGAGAGTCCAATCACAGTCCAACGCAATGATAAATGTGCTGGAACACCTGGCTTGCCTGAAGGAGAAGCAGATTGAACTAATTTTCTAATTTAACGATAAAAGGATTTAAATAGGACACACAGCCTTCCATATTAGAAAAAGAAGTCAAATTGGGGGCCTGCATGGCTCAGTGAGTTAAGCAACCAACTCTCGGTTTTGGCTCAGGTAATGATCTCAGGACCCTGAGATAGAGCATAACCTTTCCTACTTCTTCCAGAGAACCTAATTCTACCAATTAATATATACATATGCTCTAGTACCTCTCATTCATGAAAATGGAAACCTCCATTATGCTTTACATGCCTTTCAAGCCATTACCCTATTTCTTTTATCTTTACCACAGATCTTTTAAAGGTTGTCTCCTCTCTTTGCATCTTCCCTTGCGTTCCACAAACTGGAATATTGTCTCCATCTATACTGCTCTTCTCAAATTGCTGTCATGTGGACCACAGACAATCTCTACTCTGCCACATCAGTGGACACATGTTTCGATCTTCCTTTTGTTCGATCTTTTTGTGACATTTGGAGGTTCTGACTACTTAACCTATTTTGGAATTCTATCCTGGGACACTGACTTCTGCCTCTCCTACTCTGCTGTCCACTATTTGTCAGTTTGTTGGTGGGCACCCATTTCTCCAACTACCCCTAATGTTTGTGTCTCATGGTCCCTCCTGGCATTAGCTCTCTCTCTCTCTCTCGTCTCTTCTAAGTTGGATGATTTCATTCATTTTCATGGCTCCATACACATTTTTGGCAGAGTTCCTAATATTCGGATTCAGCCTTACAAGAAAATTTTTTCTTTTGACTCTTCTAGTGCTTCAAACTGACAGTCTCATCCTATCCTTTGGCTGCATCCCATGAAATTAAGTATGTTTTATTGTTAAACTCTAGTCAATCATCCAGAAACAGATAGTTCATATAATGATTAAATACAGTTTTAGAAAACAATAGAATGTCCAAATCCCTTTATGAAACTAAGAAAATCTGACAAAATAGCCCAAGCCTAGTTAAATATAATATAAAGCACAGACCTATACCCATTACAAATAAAATGGCAAAATCTGTTAAATATTAGCAACTTGAATTTAGCATTATGGTAAATTTATAGTTTCTTTAAAAATACAATAAGAAAAAAACATGACCTTGTAAATAGGTTCTCAGCAGTCATTTGATAAAATTTAAAATCCATTTTCAAGCTCAGGCTTGAAAATCAAACAGATATGATTTAGAATTATAAGTTATCCACTTATAGCTGTTTTTTTCCACTAGACAGGTATATTCACCTTTTTTGGATCCTAGTTTCACTAATTTTTAAAATGGGTCTAGATTGCCTTAAACCCTTGTTTGAAATACATCTCATCCTTTCCTTTTCATAATATTCTTTATCTTTAAAGTCACACATTTAACGTATGTTTTCCCCACCAGACTGAAACCACCTTGAAGATATGCATGTATGTGTGTGCATGATCATTTATAGAATTTGCAGGGCCCAGTGCAAAGTGAAAATGAAAGTCCCCTTGTCCAAAAATAATTAAGAATTCCAAGACAGTGATTGCAGAGTATTAAACCAAGCAAGGAGCCCTTCCACGCACAGGCCCCTGTGTGACTACATAGAACACGTGGAGGCTTTATGTGTATGTGGTATGTCTGTCTGTGTTTGAAATATGTTGAGTATTATGCCTGGAAAATTAAGCCATAGGAACCTCAAAAAATATCCATAGACAAAAGATAGCTAGCATTCAGGTCTCAGACTATAAACAATAGTCATATCAGGTTGGGCAAAAATAGTTCAGATAATTAATCAAGAAAATATTTTTAGGTTTACCACTGATTGACTAATTTGATGGAAGATTGTAAAAAAATTAAAAAAAACATTGATGAATCTTTAACAATTCTCCCTTTAAGTAGACAGTTATATCATTTTATTTCAATGTTTTCTATTACACTGTATAAACCATTCTGAGATGATGTCTTCCCCCTCCTAATATGTATTGGTTGTAAGTCACAAACTATGTACTGTTTTGTTTCTGTGTTGACTTTTCTGCACAATTCATTGAGTCTATGAGTGAACATTATAATAACCACTCCATTTCTCTAAGCATAAAACATTAGCATATAAAAATTCATAGAATGTTTAATCCTAGTCCATCTGTCCTCTTTTAAAAAGATTTTATTTATTTATTTGTGAGAGAGAGAGTGTGTGAGTGAGAGAGAACAGGAGCAGGGGAGAGAGGCAGAGGGAGAAGCAGACTCCCCAGCTGAACAGGGAGCCTGATGTGGGACTCGAACCCAGGACCCTGAGATCATGACCTGAGCCAAAGGCAGACGCCCAACTGACTGAGTCACCCAGGTGTCCCTGATCCTTGTCCATCTGTCTTATAAAAAATAATGTTTCACTTATCGAAATATCAACCACTAATTTAAGACTTCATTTTGGAATTCTTTCAAAATGCTATTAATCCTCTCATCCACAGAAAAATAATAACTTGATGTAGTTAGAATGCATCCCTTTTCGTATACCAGTAAAAACTCCAAATGCTTTATGAATACTTTTTTCAGAGTGATTCTTCACATTTGGGGTCAGAGTTTAGGGTGGAATTTACATGTCCTCTCCTGGAGCTCTGAATAATTTCCTTTCATGATTTCCAAAAGTTCACTTATGCACAAGCCCTTATTCTGCCGTGTTTTATGGTGATTTCATGAAAAAGGAAGACGGAGTTCCTCTTGAGGAAGTTATTGATGGATGCTCTTTTATCTGTCCCTGAAAAGTATTTAAAAAAAAAAAAAGTGCAGGCTGGGTGCAATTACATACCCCAAAGTGCTGCTGTCAGGGATTTTAAGCTAATAAATAACCGACCTAGCTGTGTTTAGTTATAGAATTCATTTTTAAAAGTCACTCCTGTTTTTCCACTCCCCACCTCCCACTCTAGGATCCCGTCAAATGGAAATACTTGGCTTTTCCCACCCCATCCTGTCTCCTGTTCTCATTTGCTTCCCTCCTCCTTCTCCTCTTTCCTCCTATTTCCCTCCTGCCTTTACATGTCTTCTCTTCATGCATGTTCTCATTCATGCATTCTCATCTAGTTGTTCTCTCTCATTCTGTCACTCAACAATACTTTCTGAATACCTGTGTGCTGGATACTATTCTAAGTGGACAGAGGCTTGGCTGAGCACAGGGAAGAACACAGCAGGAGAGGAGTGAGTCGTGTACCAGAGGGGCTCAGAGAAGGCAGTACCACCCAGATCACCCAGGACGACCTCGAAGGCTTGGTGCACAGTGGCAAGTGGCCAGAGGGTGGTCACAGAAGATGGCATTGCATAAATCAAATACCCTGCTGCTATGAGGAGAGTGAAGGGGTCCTGAGCAAGAGTGAAAGCTGGAAGATCCCCCCAGACAGCAGGGTTTTAATGGTTTGCCCATGTGCAATTTACAGAGTGGACAGATTGGATTCAGGATTTATTTTAGAAGTAGAGTTGATAAGACTTGCCTATGGATAGGATGTAAGAAGTGAGACTAAAAGAGGAAATGGAGATCCAAGCTTCAGGCTTGAGCAACTCTGTCTCACTCTGTTATTCTCTTCTTTCTCCCTTCTTTCTTTTCCTCTTTTCTTTGTTCACACTATAACTGAATCTGGAATGTTCACATCCCTAGGTTAGTTCCCGCCTGAGTCTCAGTTCAGAACTCAGAAACCCCAAAAAGCTTTCCTGAGGTCCCCCCACAGTGGGGGACAAAGACATACCCACATGATACCTGACCCTGTCTCCCTCCTGGCATCAATTTCCACATTGTTCACAAGGATGGCTAACACAGAGGCTGCAAGCATGAACTCTAGAGCCAGAATACAGGAGGTTTGTGTCCAAGCTCTGTTACTAACCAGCTAAGTGAACTCTGGCAAGTTACTTAAGGACATCTCAGTTCCCACATCTGTGAAATGCCTATAAGGAAAGTGTCTACTCATAGAAAACTTTGCATGAGAGGATATATATATATATATATATATATATATATATATAGTGTATATATGTGTATATATATAATGCTTAACACAGTATTAGTACAGAGCAAATGCTAGATAAATGATAGCTGTTATCATCATCACCGTTACTACTTTATCCACCTTCTTTTAAGCAGGGTTCCTGCAGAATATCAGAAAACAAATTCAAACAGGAAATACTAAAATAATTCAAGCTTAGAAAAAACATTAACTCCTCAGTAAAACACAGTAAAAATGCTTAGTATGACCTATTGGTCAATTCAGATAAACACATAGGTGGGAGTCTTAGTTATCAACTATTATAGTCAGTCTCCATTTTCTCCACCTAATCTGGGATTCGTGTTTCGGGTCCAAACATACCACTTACCAGATTAGACGCACCCACAGGATTATTGTTCTTTGAGGTCTCACCTAGGCAGGTGCATCTACAAAACACAGGGCAGAAAGAGACTTATTACAGAGGTTGAGGGGCGGAGGGCGTGACCCTTTTAATCTTTCCTTACTTCCTTTTTCTTTTTTTTCCGAGACGATTTGGCATCGTCCACTACGTCCGTGGCAAGAGCTGCGACGCCTCCTTGGTGGCGTAGGCTTGCAATTGCCCAGCTTTCGCCCTACACGTTTGTGGCTTCCACAGATTAGCAACCAATACTTTTAGATCCCAGTTGCCTAGCTTTGCCAAGACGGTTAGAGGTCATTTGGAAAGTCTTTTGCCTCGAATTGTTCTCATTCAGAAGGCCAGCTCGTTCCTCCCGTGGTGCTTTGGAGATTCGCGCCCTCCTCTGGTCCCGGTTCAGGTGCACAAGAAGACCTAGGGGAGGACGCAGGTGCTCAAGAGAGGTGGGGCGGTGCAGGCACCCCGGTGGTGAACCCAAAGATCAAACCTGCAGACCCGGCGCAAAGTAGAAACTGAAAGTACACTGCCGGCTGATCCTACGGAAGTTATGGAAAAGGCAAAGCGCAGAGCCGGGCCGTGGTGTGTGCCGCCCCCCTTGGGATGGATGAAGCAGCAGGCGCGGTGTGGGTGAGAGGAACCAGCGGCAGAGGCCGCCCTGCCCAGCACGGACTCCCGGCAACTCCGCGGAAGACAAGAGTCCCGGCAGCGACTATGGGCGGTGAGAGCTTGCTCCTGCTGCAGTTGCGGTCATCATGACCACGCCCGCCTCCCGCAGACCATGTTCCATGGTAAGCGCTCCTCTCCCAGGCGCACCAGTCCGCGCGCCCGGCACGCCCGGGGACTCCAGGACGCGTCGCCGGGCCCCGCGCCCAGGCGCGTCCGGGAACAGCCCAGCCTTGCACTTTGGACCTGCTGAGAGCACTTGCTCTCCCACGGGCAGGCGTCAGCCGCACTTTGGCACCCTGGCCCACAGCCGCCACTTGCAGTCCGGACTGCTGCGCCTAGCCCACGGCGAGAAGCCGACCCCCACGCCGCCTTTGCGTCCCGACACGCGGCGCTGCAGCGTCCGCGCCGCGCAGCGGTGGCAGCCCGCAGCCAGGTCTCAGAGGTAACCAATGGCTCGCCGTCAGTCTTCCCGAGCCAGCGCTGCCCTCTGTCAACCCGGCGCCCTGCCCGTCGTACCCGTGCTCCTGGCGGCGCCCAATTACTCACTGACGTTCGGGTTGGGGCGAGTTACCTGAGCTCGTGTAGTTCCCTACTATCTAGAGAAGTGAAAGCGAAGCTCCCACGGGACTCGCTTTTAAACCCTATGGGGACAGGTCTCTGGAAAGCCCCGTTTCAACCCCCTCAAGCGAGGCTGGGAGTTTCCGACTGGGGCTGTACCTCATGCCCTTTGCTGGGAACCCGAGTCCTCGGGCTGGCACCGAGAAAGGCGAGTTTCGGGTTTCTGTTTTTTCCTATATGGGTGCTCCTTGGTGGAGGCAGTATTAAATAGTCTTAAGTCTAAATTCTAGACCTTGGCCGAGATCTAATATATTTTGATTCGTGCGGACTACGGACAAGGGCAGAGCTGAGGCGAGCGAGCTGGATTCCCATACGGCCAAGGGAAAGAGCCAAAAAATTTACTGGATGGGGGAAAAAAAGGAGAAAAGGAGATGTGAGGGGCGAAGATCTTCTGGGGGAAATTAGAATATTTTATAGTAAATACTTCCTCATGCGAATAATAATAAAAAAAAAAAAAGATGGGTGGGGGAGGGTGCGGGAATAGGGAGCAAATTGCTCTTCCATTTCATGCCTGGCCTGTGCGCTTTGCAGGCTACATCGTTAGATCAAAAGAGCTTTTCCTCCCTCATAGGTATTAAAGAATCTTGACTTGGCATAGCCAAGAAGTACCAGATCAGTAACAACATAAAGGGGTTGGGGTGGGTAGAGGGTATGGAAGACGATTATGGAAAAAGATTTGTAATGGGTGCCCTCCAGAAGTTTTGTATAGAATTAGAAATTAGGTATAGCCCTCTCTGCCTCCCAATGCCATGGATCTCCCGCAATTATTTCTTTCCTGTAGCTCTTGGTTTTAATCCCTGCATCACCTCTGATTTGAAATGGCAAGGTTAAAAAACAAAAACAAAGAAAGTGAGGATGTGCATTATTAACAAGGAGCTTTATTTCCTGAAGTGTATCTATATTATTCATCTACCAAAAGCTATTTGCAAACAAAATATTAGAATTCTAAACTCCTGATAATAGTGATTATAATGTGTGGCTTTTGCATTTCCAAGAGATTTTACAAGAAGCTTAAGGGTAGTTTTACTCCTTAAACTTTTCCTTTGCTGCTTCTCTGGGGAGTTGAAGTAGTTGAGGCCCTACTATGTGGTTCTCAAGTGTACTATCTAGGTTAGATAATTTAATCACATTTGAGGACCAAAAATGGAATAGTAATAAAAACAGGGAACTGAGAAAGATGAGAAAGCCTGAACAGGTACAAAGGAGAATCACACATGGTACCACATCAGTGTTTCAGTATCTTAAACAAGAATGGAGAAAGCTATTTTATAGGACCCATTTATATGTCATATTCACATTCATGCACACGAGATTGTTTTTTCTGGTCTTACCTCTGACACATAACCTGGTGTCATAAGAGCAAATATTTTGTGTCTGTTTTTTGTTTCAGAGCTTGACCAGGAAGCACCTTAGTGAGGTTCATGTGGAAAAAGATGGGTTTTTGTACATTCTTTTGACTGCACACACACACACGCACACACGCACACACACGCTTGTTTTTGTAGGAAGCAGTGCAGCTCAGTGGCTAAAAGCTGAGTTTCTAAACTCTTTAACCTGTCTCATACTATACATGTTATATATGGGGGAAAGTTTCTTTGTTCCTTAGATTCCCCATCTGTAGAACTGTGAATAATTGGTAGTACTTACCTCCTGAAGTGGTTATGAGATTAAATGAAATATTGCATGCAGTATCATAGGATGGCTGCAGAAATGTCTTTAAGTGTTTATCATGGGATTTGTGGATAGAGCTTATGGAGCAGTGTTAATATTGATTGTGGCAGAAATTAGATTTATTTATATGAGGATAATCAAATTTATGTTTGTAATCTTAACGAGCTAATTTCCATACAACTCATGGTTGTTTTCTGTTTATTAACTTTTTCTTCTCTTTATGCACCAATTTGCTTGTGCCAATTGTTCATATTAAAGCCGAGTCATATTATATATTCAGAATTCAGATAATGTTTTCTATTCCACCCTGAATGTCTTTTTGAGTATTTTTTTAAATTCCCAGTGAAAATGGGTCTATGAAATATTTATAGTGGACATTCAATAAACACTTACTTGTCTTAGAGAGGGATGAAAGATTGGATTTGATAGGCTGTAGAAACTAATTTATTTATGTTCACTTTGACCCCATAACTTATGCAGCTGAGGATCAAATATATTATTTGGCTTAAATTAAAAACCAACAAGAATTTTTTTTTTTAGACAGCCATCATTCTGGTGTAACCAAATTCCCTATTGAAAAACAAATTCTCCAGTTTCAATCCCTTCAGGAAATCTAAAGACAAAATGCCACAGGCCCAAGCTTGCCTTGCATTATTCCTTATGGTTTGTCTTTAGTGTAACTTAAAGAAAAGTTCAAGGTCATGAAAGGGGTGAATGTCTACACATAACCTGAAACAAAACAGAATAAAAGTAGAGTTTTTTCCTATTGTGACAACAATGTCAAAAGCATGCTCGAACTAGGCAATATTAATATGTTTATTCTCTGGATGGTGTGGAGAAAAGACTTCAGTTGCAGACCAAACTGCAGTTGTTAATTTGAGAGGTGGGAACATGTGAGATGTGGGTCTGAAGCCCTGGGTGTGTTTTCAGTATTGTCCATGAGGCGATTTCAAGTCTAAAGAAATACTTTATTGGGATGGCCAGGGAGATTCTTAGAATTAAGGTCTTGAAAGTTGAAAGGGACATGAAGGGATCTAGTCTAAAGTTTTGATTTTACAGATAAGTTAAATGAAACTTAAAAGACGCTGTCACTCACTTAGTCACACAACCCATTGTCATACAACCCCTTGTCACACCAAGACAAAAACCCCAAGTCTCTATACCCCAGCCCTCTGTGTTTTGTTTTTGGCCTAGTCCGTGTGGAGCTAGCCTATTTAACAACAATGGCAACAATGGCTTTGTCTTTATAAACAAAGCAAATTATGTTCCATTTTTTAAAAAGATTTTATTTATTCATTCATTTATTTATTTATTTATTTAGAGAATGCATGTACAAGAGGGGGCAGGGGCAGAGGGGGAGAGAGAGAGAGAGAATCTTAAGCAGGCTGCATGCTCAGAGCCTGAGGTGGGGCTCAATTGCACAACCCTGAGATCATGACCTGAGCAGAAATCAAGAGTCAGATGCTTAACCGACTGAGCCACCCAGGCACCCCAAGGCAAATTATGTTTCAGGATTGAGAAACTAGTTGTAATGCATGAAAAAGACTAAGTTTTCTACCAAGCCACCATTGAAAGCACTGGTAAATGTCATTCAATGAATAAACGGATCCATAGGAACTTGGGGAGCACTTACTGAAAGTTGAGGTGAAGAGGACACAACAGGCAGTGCTCATAGAAAATAAAACAACCTCCTTTTGTCAAAACATAAAAGATGGACCTTTAAAATAACATCTATGTAGAATAAAAAAGGTCTCTTTTTTATTCTAGTATTTATTTTATTATATTCCCCTTAAAACTCATTTCAAGTTATATGCTATATAAATTATCATCTACTCTTTCCAAAGTGTTCCTTTTTGGACACCTGTAAGAAGACAGAAAAAAACGAAGTTTGGATCTATGCAGTCTGTACAAATCCAATTACAAAGTCAGAATCTAGTAAATAAATAGCAATTGACTCTTCTTTGAGAATCTTCAGGATGAAAAAGCAATAGTACAGGAGAGAGGTAGAGCTATGTAATACTACATAGAAGTGGTTTCATTCAGAGGACTAAAGTAATTACATGTTATCAAAAGATTATGACCATTTCTGATCAAAACCTGGTGAGGCAGTAAACCCAGGTTAGAATCCAGACCTGGCACCTACTATCTGGTTTTTACAAAAGATTAATTTGTAGGACTTTTTTGATCTTTATAGATAGGTATAAGGTAACAAAGTGCTTAGCACATGATGGGTACTCCAACATAACTCTCATCATCATCATCATTAATCTCCTAAGTGAATTTTGCTGGTATGTGTATAGACTCTCAATGGCAGAGCTATGAATCAATTCCATGTCTTATTTTGTTTCTCTTACCTCGTCAAGTGTCCGTGATGTATGGAGACGAGATGTAGGATTTGTGTTTGTTCTCATACCTGCTGTTTAGCCTGCTTTCTCTATTTGTAAAAATATGGGTAACAAATAGCTCATCATTTATTGGGGAGTGCTACTGATTTTTATATGACAGATAATGATACAATAGTTGATAATATTATTGGGAACTTTATGATGTATTTAACATATGTTACAATATTAGTTCCTCGGGTTCCAAAGAGTATTGTTTGTAGTCCTAATCAAAAAAGACACAGGTGTGGAACGTCTTGCTCTCATCAAGTAGAGTTTAAACTTCATTTGGGAAATTAAAAGGAGATATATTGTCAGCGTAACTCAAGAGTTTGCAGAAAGATACAAATAAGATGTTTTGACAGACTTATGAAGAAATACGTCTCTATATAACCACATTTTAATGTCTCTGGGAATAACGGGCTCTCCATCAGTGCATTGTAACTGCTCGAACTGATTACCATTTGTAATTTCATTCCTTTCAATTAGACAAATGCCTCTAAGTAGGAAGGCTTATCAAAAACAGACATAAATCATTAGTTACCAGGGTGTGAATTTATTTAATGGGTTTTTCTAACATGTCAAGAAGCTAGACAGAGCTGTGTTTGTAGAAAATGTGGGTCTCTGGGCACATAGAAACAAAGAATATACTGAAAAGATAGAGTGTCAAAATGTAAATGTCAACTTTGTCACAGTTCTGGGAGGGGTAAACCCTTTAAGGTCCATCATTAAAAAGAAAGAATATAATCACAGTACCATGGAAATAAAGGTGCAGTGCTGCCTCCAGGAAGAGGCTGGGGACTTGGACAATCATCAAGGTTTACATAAATATACATGCCATAAATTATAAAATTTCAAAAATGTGTAAATTTTTTTACCTATAGTTTACCTGTTTACCTGTAGATGCCTTTTCTTGTAGGAATGTTCAATATAAATCAAAATTGAATAAACCAATTTATACCCTAGAGTGTTTTTCAAAGGCAGAGAGTCTACTTTCATCACACCCGTTCAGTGCTTTTCCAAAGAGTAATTTTTAAGTAAAAAAATAAAAGAAATTTAAACTCTAAAATACAGTCCTACCTTGCTTGTTACATAATACTGAATTTTAGGGTCTTCCCACACTATCCAAAAGCCAAGGTGCGTTCCAAAAAGTTATTAGAAATAAATGGTCAGGCCGATTGAAACGACACAAACGATATAATATGACCTACAACATTCAGCTTATTCTTACTCACTGTTCGATTTAGTTTCTTTTAGGTATATCTTTGGAATTCCTCCCCTGATCCTTGTTCTGTTGCCAGTAACATCATCTGATTGTGATATTGAAGGTAAAGACGGCAGAGAGTATCAGCACGTTCTGATGATCAGCATCAATGACTTGGTATGTGCTTGTTTGTTTTCCTCACATTTTAACAGTTTCATATTCAAGTATCCATCTGTATTCCTTGAAAGAAAGTGAAATAACTAAAGAGCAAAATTTAATGAGCTACTAACTACCTATTTTTGTAGTTGGCATCATTATATCCTTTTAAAATAATTCTTTAGTAGACCTTCAGATTCCCACAGCTATCTATTTCCGCTCAGTTCCCTTCACTACCACATTTCTTGTAAGCATAATTTAGCATAACTACCTGCATTTCCTCACTTCCTGATGACAGTCCCTGTAGGAGCACTGTAATAGAAGAGGGAAAATAACAGAATACAATATTAAAAAACTACCATTAAAAAAAGATGTATCGTTATTTCATCTGAATGTGTGTACATGCATATGTATTATATAGGTATTTTTATGCACATGTATATATGTAATTTGCTGCAAATTAATTTTTTAATTTACTATGGACTTTTTTACCATATAATTTATATCTTAGAGTAGTTTTAAGTTCGCAGAATTGTTAAGCAGAAAGTAGAGAATTACCACATACCAGCTCATCCTCTGTACAGTTTCCCCTATTATTAACATCTTGCATTTGTGTGGTACATTTGTTAAATTGATGAACCAATATTGATACATTATTATTAATTAAGGTCCATAGCTGACATTAGGGTTCAGCTTTTGTGTCGTACAGTTCTGTGGGTTTTAGCAAATGTAGGGTCATGTACCCACCATTACAGTATCATACAGAATAGTTTCACTGCCCTTAAAAATCCTTTGTGCTCCACTTATTTATCCTCCCTCCTCCCCTCCCTTTGAATGCATGGCAACCACCAATCTGTTTATGGTCTCTATACTTTTGCCTTTCTAGAATGTCATATAGTTGGAATCATGCAGTATATAGCTTTTTTAGACTGGATTCTTTCACTTGGCAATGTATATTTAAGGTTCCTCCATGATTTTTTGTGGCTTAATAGTTCATTTCTTTTATTGCTCAATAAAATTCCATTGAGTGGGTGTACCACAGTTTGTTTTTCCATTCACTGATTGAAGGACATGTCTTGGTTGCTTCCTATTTTTGGCAATTATGAATAAAACTATTAAGTATTCGTGTGCAGGGTTCTGTATGGACATACGTTTTCAACTCATTTGGATAAATATCTAGGAGAATGATTGCTGGATCATATGGTAAGACTATGTTTAGTTTTTATAAAACTATCCAAGTGTCCTCCAAAATGACAATATCATTTTGCATTTTCACCAGCAATGGATGACCTCCTGATGCCTCACATTTTCACCAGTATTTGGTGTTGTCCATGTTTTGAATTTTAGCCATTCAAATAGGTGTGTCATGGCATCTCATTGTTGTTTTAATCAACAGTTCCCTAAAGTCATAGGATGTTGAATATCTTTTCGTATACTTTATTGCCATTTGTCTATATTGATCAATGAGGTATCTGAATTCACATCTAAGCTGACATCTTAACAATACTAAGTCTTCTTATAGAGAAATATATTTCCATTTATTTAGATCTTTGATTTCTTTCTTCAGTTTATATTTTTCCTCATATAGATCCTGTTTACATTTTCTTAGATCTATACCTAGGGTGCTATTGTAAATAGTGTTGTGTTTTGAATTTCAGATTCCAATTGTCCCTTGCAGATATATAGGAAAGCAATTGGCTTTTGTATATTAACCTTGTATCTTGAAACCTTACTATAATTACTTATTAGTTTCAGGAGGTATTGTTCTTGTTGTTGATCCCTTGGGATTTTCTACACAATATGTCACCTACAAAAATAATATTTTTACAATCTAAGAGCTGTGTCAACATAATGGGATGTGTTGATTTAAAAGATAATCAGTTCTTGAAGTCTTAAAGGGCAAAGGAAAACCCTCTCAAATGTTCATAAGATGGAAGAAATTGTTTAATCTGCCTCCTGCCACCATTCCACTATCATCTTCTCCACATACTTATACTCAAGTGGCATGATACTTTGGGAGATTCATTGTTCCATTTCTTAAAGGGATATGGGAAATTCAAGATAATATATTTTTTAAAGATTTTATTTATTTATTTGACAGAGAAAGAGTACAAGCAGGGGGAGCGGCAGGGAGAGGGAGAAGGAGGCTCCCACTGAGCAGAGAGCCCAACGTGGGGCTCAATCCCAGGACCCTGGGAGCATGACCTAAACTGAAGGCAGACACTTAACCGACTGAGCCACCCAGGCTCCCCGAGATAATACAGAACAGGGATCAAAGAGGTCCCTGATTTTGCCCATTGACAAGGAAAAAAGTGCATACTAAATGGCAGTTATCCCACTTCGCATTTTATGAAGTTTTGACAGTTGACATTTGCTGCATTAATTAATGCTACTAATGTTTTTGAGTCAAGATAATGCTTTTATGTAATTTTATTATCTAGGCAAGGAATCAACTAGTGTTAGTTCTACAACACTTATAAATAACTATATGTGCATAAAACTGCAAAGAAAATTGCTATTGGAATCCAAACGGAGAGTTTTGTTTACCAGATTCATAGCACATTTTTTTTGGAAATGTAGAGTTTATCTCGTTAAAATGCACAGCAGCAGCAATGATACTGTTAAAACAGTACCTGTTGGTGCGTGGGTGGTGCTGGGTGGCGCAGTTGGTTAAGTGGCCAACTCTTGGTTTGGCTCAGGTCATGATTACAGGGTTGTGAGAACAAGCCCCGCGTGGGCTCAGCACTCAGTGCAGAGTCTGCTTGACTCTCTCCCTCTCCTTTTCTGTCTCCCGTCTTCCCCACTCTCTCTACCTCTCAAATAAATAAATAAATCTTACACAAACAACAACAAAACCCGAAGCAAAACATGGTTACTCTTCTTAAGAGATTAATTCATAAGACGTGGAAGAGTATATGAGCTAATCAATTCAAGTGAACCGTGCCATGATAGTCTCAAGAAAGTTGTCTATAAATATGAGGTGATAAATTAGAAGGAAGGAGAAAGAAGTCACCACAAATTATTCATATCAACATGGCTGGTAGAGAAAATTCAGTCCCCTTATTCACTCAATGTGTACTAGAGGCTTTACAGACATTACTGGGTGTGAGTCTCAGGAAGACCATAATAATACTAATATTTATGAAGCGCTTGTTTTGTTCCAGGTGCTAGCCAAATACACTTTCACAGTATGCCTATAAGAGAGGTGCTCTTATTACTTTTATTTCACAGAGGAAGAAGCTGAGGCTTGTGGCCAGCCAGTTTGTAAGGGGCAGAACCCGGATATGAGCCTTTGCTGTAAACCAGCACACTCTCCTGCCTCTTGATGGCAATATCGTGTTAGCTTATGTGTGAAACAAACATCAATTTGGAGCCTGTTATTATGGAAAACCCTTTTGTGTGGTGAAGTGGTGGGGGCTTCAAGGTAGATACCATGATGGATGAGGTGTAGACCCTTCTTTAAAGAAGCTTTCCTTTGGTGATAGTTTAGTCTTGGTGTGAAGTATGCAAGTTGCAGCTTGAAAAGGAGTGGCTGCCATACTGTCATTCCAAACAAACAGACTGGTTGTGAGCTAGATTTGGGAACAGAAAGATATAAGCTGTGTCCTAGAAAGAGTTGAAAAGATCTGCTTGGCGCTAGGAGAAAGACCATGTTGTGGGATAGCGCACTGATTTCCAGTGAAAATTTTTTGAACCTACACTTCCAATATCCATTTAGCATTTATTTACATATTAGAGCATTTCATAGTATTTTTTCATGCATTAATAAGATATATATAAAACAGAAGAAAATTCACAAAGGATGAGATAAAAACTACCTGTAGTTAGAATTTCTAAAATTTTCCTCCCACACTGCAATGAATGGTCCATTGTGACTCCACTTCCAAGACCAGTGATAGAGCAGAAGACATAAGGGGATCTACATTCTATAGCAAGATTGAGAGTGGTCTTGATGCAATGATACTTAGACTTTATTCCCAGCATAATCGAAAGTCCTTAGTGATTTGATCATAAAAGTAACAGTTAACTAAAATATGAATTTCTGAGCATTTATTATGTGCAATGTAGGCTGTTAAAAATTAATAGTCCGTGTTCTTCTATACTCTATAAGGATGGTGGATACACGTGTCATTATAATACAAAATGATAATAGCAGTACATTACAAAAAGTTTTATATACATTATCTTTTTTGAGCTTCACAATACCCCTATGAGGTGATGATAATGATAATAACTAAGACAAAATCAAGGTGTACAATGTGCCAATGCTTCTGTAAGCACTTTCTATGTATTAACTTATATAATTCCTAAAACACCTTTATGTAATGAGGACACTGAGACCTGGACAACATAGCTGGCAAGTGGCAAAACTGGAAATCAAACCCCAGAAAACATGCTCCTTATTATGAGGAAAAACAGGGTAAAACTCTGCTATTGTTTTGGCTATTTCAGGTCCCTTGCAATTTCATATGAATTTTAGAATCACCTTTCAGTTTTTAGGAAGAAGTCAGTTGGGACTCTGATAGGGAATTTTTTGCAACTGTAGATAAATGTGAGGAGTATTTTTTTTTCAACAACACATAACAATGCTTCTGATCCATGAACACATGAACATGGGATGTTTTTCCATTTATTTAGATCTTTAATTTCTTCTAACAAATATTTTGTATTTTGCAGACTATAAACTTTGAACTTTTTTTTGGTTAAATGTATTCCTAAGTATTTTATGTGTCTTTGATGTTAATGTAAATGGGATTGTTTACTTAATTTCATATTTAAATTGTCTGTGATTCTTAACCCTATACTCCTTGTATGCTTACCTAAGTTTGTATCTTATTTCTCCATACTAGTCCATAAGTATCTTAAGGACAGTTTATACTTGATTTATCTTTGTGTCCCACAGAATGTTCAACAGAATACCTTGCATATACATAGTAGTTTTTCATAAGTAACAATATGAATTGTAATAATATATGATAAATAATAGATGAATTTAAAATTAATACCACAAGTTCACAAGA